TAGATAGATAGATAGATAGATAGATAGATAGATAGATAGATAGATAGATAGATAGATAGATAGATAGATAGATAGATAGATAAATAAATAAATAAATAAATAAATAAATAAATAAATACTGCAGCTGGTGTAACTCAGTGAGCTGGAGTAGTTTCCTGAAGAGCCAGGGGACCAGGAGTTCAAATCCCCATTATATCTATGGAGAAAGGGTTCAGTCAAAATCATCTGGAGCTGCATGCCCTGCCCCAGAAGGAGGGACAGTATTTTATATCTAGCAAACCTATGAAGCGTTGCCATAAGGCAAAATCTGCCTGCTAGTACATAACTATTATTAATAATGCAATGTAAGAAAGAAAAGGTGAGATATAAATGTTAAAAATACTGTGAGCCCCAACTAGATTGGAATCCTGAGGGAAGGTGGTATTTAGTTTTTCCCCCTGAAGATCTGTTCTTGCTCAGAAAGAAAATGGAAACCATGCCTTTGACTATGCGTAAATGATATTATCAATTATAGCTGAAGCTTGATGTGACCGCAGACCATGCTGAATACTGATCTTATACAGTAGATATTAATTATCTGACTATTGATAAACAATAATTATGCTACCCTGTTTCCCCAAAAATAAGACCTAACCTGAAAATAAGCCCTAGTATGATTTTTCATGATGCTCGTAATATAAGCCCTACCCCAAAATAAGCCCCAGTTAAGTGAAACCTTGCCCTCCACCATTGTGCAGCATTCTGGAGCAACCAGAAGAAGATGACATGGCTGTGTTTGAATAAATATGGATTGTTCTACATGCAAAAAAAAAAAAAAACACCCCCTGAAAATAAGCCCTAATGTGGTTTTTGGAGCAAAAATTAATATAAGACCCTGTCTTATTTTCAGGGAAACACAGGATCATTATGTTATTTATCTCCACATGCACTGACCCAATAATATTCAAAAGCTTCATGGGGATTACCTCTTAAGGAAAACCTTAGGCAAAGTAGGTCTTTCAAAAGGAACTCTGGGAATCTTTTCTGTCTCTCAGCCAGATTCCATGGATACAATGATGGATACGTATGTGCTACTCACCCTGAACATTTAGCACTCTTTCAACACTGACATCAGATAATCTTTTCTTCCGAAGCTCTGCTCGGATTCGGAACACTTGATCAGCATATGGTGTTACAACACCTATGCTGCCATCATCTAATTTGCCCCAAGCTACTGGCCACTTTCTCCTCAGTTCTTCAACACGTTCCACTACTTCAAACACCTTGAAAGAGAAAAAAAATATATATCAAGGAAAAACACTAGATTTTTTTTAAAAAGTCTATTTCCCTTGAATAAAAAAAAGGAATGCTTCAAAATAAGTTTCAATAGAATTATATTTCAGAGGGTTTTTAAAATAACATGCCTTAAGCTATAGTGTCTCCTTTGTATTCTGTTCCTGACATTTGCAAATTGGTATAATAATCAATATTTCCATTACATCCATAATTGCCTTAAATATCCAGAAGGAACCAGAAAACCAGGAAACTATAATTCTTAAAGATATGTTCACAGAATAGAAGGTATTTTCATAAGACCCCCGAAGAACAGGAAAACATTAATGCATAGCCATGCATGTTAAATACAGCACTTACCATAGATTTGTGTGTCAAACGACACTGCAATTTGCCATTTCTATCAGTCTACAGAATTTTGTTTATGTACTTGGAAAAAAATTAACTCTCCTTTCTATCTTTGAGCCATGGTGGGCAACTGTGACCTTCCAGGTACTATTGGAGTAAAATTCCCATTAAGCCTTGGCAACACAGTCAACTCTAAGGGATCATGGGAGTTCCACTTTGCAACATCTGGAAGGCCATGGCTGCTCATCCCTGCCATAACCAATAAAGAGACACATCATGGGATGGTAAGGTATCTGTGATAATATAATGTTGTAGCATATCAATTGAGTTCCAACAAGTAAGTTTTCCTCCTCAGTTTCTCTCAGGTGACACTTGCCCAGGGTGAGTTCTACTTTACTCTAGCCACTAGAATGCAAACTATATAATAAAACTGATTAGAAACTGTAGCCAGAAACACCAACCCCTTCCTGCAGATCCCAGGGAGATACTTTAAAAAAAGCAAACATTCTCTCTAGTTCAAATCAATATCTGAATTAGAGAGAACTATCTCTTTATTCCACAGAATCCAGAAGAAACTGACAGAGCCACATAAAAGAGTTCTGAGCAAGACATATTCCTCTGGTAACAGTTCATCACAAGTTAGGTAAAGATAAAAGTAAAGGTTCCCCTTGACAATTTTTGTCCAGCCGTGTTCGACTCTAGGGGTGGTGCTCATCGCTGTTTCCAAGCCATAGAGCCAGCGTTTGTCCGAAGACAATCTTCCGTGGTCACATGGCCAGTGCGACTTAGACACGGAATGCTGTTACCTTCCCACCGAGGTGGTCCCTATTTATCTACTTGCATTTATATGCTTTCGAAACGCTAGGTTGGCGGGAGCTGGGACAAGCGATGGGCGCTCACTCCGTTGCGTGGATTCGATCTTACGACTGCTGGTCTTCTGACCCTGCAGCACAGGCTTCTGCGGTTTAGCCCGCAGCGCCACCACATCCCTATCACAAGTTAGAACTTCACATAATTCCACTACCACTATTTCATGCTGTTCTTCCTTTATTTGTATCATAGCGCTGAACAGTTTAAAATTATGAATGTATATGAAATATAGGTAAAATTTGAAAAAAAATAAAATCTTAAGATAATTAGTCTATTTTTGAGCAGACGTAGGCTACCTCAACAGCATTATCTCAGCTATTTGCTAAATCATCTTCAGTACAAGTGTTGGAACATAAACTGCATGCACATAAATACTGCATTGACTGAATCACCACATTCACAAATGTACAGTATATCATAGAAGTGAGTACATCCCCTCATATACAGTAGTGCGTCGCTTAGCGATTGCTTTGTTTAACGATATATTCGCTTAACAATGGGTTTTTTAAAGAATTTTCCGCATTGTTTAACGATGTTTCCTATGGGTGATTTTCACTTAGCGATTTCGGGACCATGCTTCGCATAGCGAATGCGTTTTGGGTCGCCTGTTTCGCTTAACGATGTCTGTTTTTGCAATTTTAAAAGTGTCTTAAAATGTTCAA